GTTCTGGGGAATTGTGTGACTTGGCCATGCTTCGGGGGAGAGGCTAATTGGCTGTCTAGTGGAAATGATGATGACACTGCAGTCCGCGGGCCCGTGGGCGGTGGGGCGGCCTGCCAGGACAGGGTGCTGCCGGCACCCGGGCTCCCAGCCTGGCAGCTGGACAGGGTCCACACGCTTGGCTGCAGGTGCGCGGGGTTCGGCCCCGGCTGACTGTCCCCCAGCGGCTGCGTGGGCTGAGTGTGTACTTGACCTCCCTGCACCTTGGCTGTGCATCGGCTCAGTGGGGGTGGAGTGTGGGAGGACCGTCCCGAGCATCAGCGACAGCACAGGTGACGTCCCGCATCAGCCCTGGAGGTTTCGGTAAAGTGGGCGCTGGTGCTTTTCTCGCTTTTCTGATCTCCAGCGGGGCGAGGTGTCCGCGCCACACCTTAGTGCTTTAAATACCACTTGGTTTCTCTTTGCTCCCGAGCAGAGTGTCAACTCCTGGAGATTAGAGGCTGAGGAACAGATCCGGTCCTGTGCTTGAGGCTCCATGCCAATCGGCTGTTCCTTCAATTCTCAGCAAGTCCAAAGTCAGCAGTGTTGCCTGCTGGGGGGCGGCTGGGCTTGGCGAGGCCTTGAGAGCTCTTTGGGGGCAAAAGGAGGCCTTGGATCTGGACCTTTGGGCCCTCACTAAGTTCCTGCTCTTCTGCCTCTCTGCAGCGCGTCTCCCCTTATGCCGCTGGTGCAGGCCTGGCATCAGGCAGGAGGCGAGAAGCGTCACCCTTGGGGCTCAGAGCTGAGAACTGTGGCCTCTGGCCTGTGGTCCGACGTTTCTTGAAATAAAGGCTGTGCTCATTCAGCAGCAGCCAAAATCTAAAAGGCAATGTTGGGCCTCCCCGGTGGCGCAGCGGTTGAGCCCTGGGTTGCGAGGCTGCCCGCAGCCTCCGCGGCATCGGTTCGATCCCCGGCTGCTCCCCGGCCACCGGAGGAGGGTCCCACATGGCGCGCAGACCTCTCCTGCCGCCCGCTGCTCCCCTCAGCAGTGTACTTCGGTCCTTCTGCCTGCTCTGCTCCCCGCTCTGGCTCTGGTGAATTCTCTCACCCTCCCGTGCTTCTGACTGTACCCAGTGCTCGTATAAATGAATAAATCTTTTAAAAAAAAAATAAAATAAAAAATAAAGGCAATGTCAAAGAAAAAAACCACTTTCCTTTAGTAGGATCTAAAATAGGGTGGAAAAGAAGCCACTGCAAAGCTGCCTCTGGCCATAGCTGCGGAGAGGGATTCTCTTCTGGTCTGTTCGGAGCTGATCAAGGTAACCAGGGGGACGGGACAAAAACCCAAGGTCAGTCGGGTGCATGGAGCACACCTTAGGGAGGGGGGCACTCGCAGAGGGACATTCTCCACGGGAACCTGAAATGGTGCAGCCAGTGGCCACTCGGAGGCTGTTCCCAGCTGCCCAGCGCTGCTCACCCGCCTCCAGCTTCATGAGCCAATGTAAAGATTCTTCTTTCAAAAAGTCCTTGCTTAGCTGTCGTGTTTATTTAAAGATAAGATGACCCAACTCCCACTATATTTAGTGCATGAAAATCTGCAGGTGTGTGTGAGTCCGGGTTTCGTGGGCCGTCTTTGGAGTCTCCCCTACCCCCGCCTTGGTTTTATTGTTCGGTAGGTGGGGGTGAGGCTGGCTCCCCGACTTCTGCACCCCCTTCCCTTCTCCAGCTTTCAGGTAACTTAAATCCCCCTCGATTATGTAACTTCTTCTTTCAAGAAAAAAAGGAAGCTGTTTTCATTTCAATTCTGATGGAAAATGTTGTGCCAACCGCAGTGCCACGCGGGCGCCCCACTTTCATTATCAGCTGGCTGAGCTTTTGTCTTCAACTCATCCCTTTGGCTTCATGCAGTTCAGTCACCATCGACTTGGGAGACAGTCTCATCCCTCTTCCAAGGCTCCGCTTGGAGGCGGTGCCTCTTCCATGTGCACCCCCCAAAGGGTGGAACCCCAAGTCAGACACCCCTACTGCCTGGTCCTGGCTCTACCAGCTGTGTGGCGTTTGGGATCCTCTGTAAATGAAACCATCCTATGAGACCGACGGGGAGATGGCTGGCAATTCTCCCAGAGGACCTGGGGCTCCGGATATCCTCAGACATGTCGGCAGCCAGCGCTGGCCCCTGCCCGCCCCCCCCCCCCCAGCTTCACAGAGGGAGTGTTGTCCAAGAAAAACTGCTGGCCTGTCCAGGGAGCTCCTTCCCTGTGGAGGTGGAAGTGAATCTATCACCAGGCAACTCGACACCTCAGCCCTCGAGGAGGGGCTGGCTTAACAGCAGAAGCGTCTGCACAGGATGGACATTTCCAGGGCTCCCCCAGGGCTTTGTCCCCGAGGAACGGCGTGACCAGCCCCACCAGCCCGGCTTCCTGCCTCCTTGGCGGCCCACACAGAATTCTGCTCCCCAGAGGGACGCCGGTCAAGGGGCTGAGGGACGCTGGCTGGTCTGCTGGGTTAGCACATTCTTTCAACGACCTTGAGTCAGGTCGTCTGCAGGCCTGTCCTGGGGAGAGAAGCACCTTGGACAGCTCGGAGGTGCATGGAGTAACGGCCCCTGTCTGAGGGGTGGGGGCGGGTGCTCCCACATGCGGTTTTGGGGTTCCTGGGTGACATGTTTGGGACAGGTACTCGGTTGTGACTGTAGGGAGCCCTTGGTTGACTGAATGATTATCAGTCCATTTTCTTGCGACTTCCTCGTGACTTCAGTTTCCAGCAGACCCCCCGAGCACAGGCTCATAGTGAAGGGATTAAAGTTGTCCTGGAGAGTCTGGCCACAGTTGCTGCTGTGACACACACACACGCACATACACACGCACACACACACACAGTCATCCAGCTTCTTGCTCTGTCCTAGATGCCACCCTTGCTTTGCCTCCCAGCTCCACCTGCCACAGGTGCTCAAGGCCTCTGGAGGCGTGACGTCCCCCCACATTAGGCAGCAGTGGCGCCATGCACAGAAGCTTCGGCCTTTCCTCTCCCCGAGGTGGAAACTCTCAGCGCCTGCTAAAGCTCTTCGCATCTTCCAGCAAATATTCACCCCAAGTTGCAGCTAAGTGTGTTACTGCCCCACAAGTCACCCCTTGGACAGCGGAGGAGAAATAAGCACCGGCTGGCAGTAGGAGAGGGGACTGAGGGCCCACCTGGACTAGAGGACCAGAAAGGTGCGTCTGTTGGGGGTGCTGGGTGGGCGGGCGGGGAGTTAGGACGACACAACAGTGTGTGAAGACTGCGGCCCCCAGCACTGCCCTGGCTCCGGGGGTCAGGAGCTGTGATCGACAGAGTCGCAGAGGCCAGGACATGACGGCTGAGCCCGGGGGCTGCGCATCACTCTTCCCACACACGTTACTCTGCCCGTAAATACTGGCCCGGACACTACCTGGACTGCTGTTTCCTGGCTCCAGCACGAGGGTTACAACACATCCAGGTTAATATCCAGGATTCAGCCTCCCCATTGCTAGTGGCCCAAGTCCAAGTCCTCCAGGAGGAAAACATCAAGTTCAACATTTTAAGCACCAACTCCATGCCAGCTGTGTGGGCGGCAGGGGGGTGGGAAAACGAAATGTACTGGCGGCGGCAACGCAGGTGAAGAGCCGATGGAGACCAGCAGTTCACGGACAGAACAGCGGGTGGGCGGAGCGGCCCGGGAGGCCAGGGAAGGCATCTCAGCAGCAGGGCAGCGTGGACGTGACCACGCCTCTGGATCTGGAGGAGGCAAAGGGCTGGGCTGGCTGCAAAGATCTCCAAGCATCACGTTTTGGGGGCTGGCAGCACTGCTGTCTCAAGCAGTTTCCGACGCATGGGGAGGGCACGGTCCCATCTGGTGCAGCAAGAGCCTCGCACGGGTCAGGAAAGGTGGACGGAGACAGTGAGATGACTCCCAAAATAGCCCAGGCAAAACCCGAAGGCCACAGCAGAAAGGCAGCGCGTCGAGGAGCATCTCAGAAGGAACACACAGTACAAATGACGGGGGACAGACCCTGGAGTCGGCTCAAAGGCAAACAGAAGAGGATCGTAAATTTGCCCTTGGACTGACGGCCGTTCTGTGATGGTGGAGGGCAGGGGGAAAGCGGATCCGACCGTCTAGAGCAGATCTGGGTCCTGACGGTCCGGTCCATGCCCAACAGCTGGAACGGGGCGGTCAACTTCCAGGCTCAGGCCCCAACACGGACGCTGGTGGGGCTGGGAGAAGGCGGGGTAAAGATGGCACACGGGTAGTTAGGGCTGGGCTGGCGGGCTTCGGAGAAGGGACCCAAAAACACACTCCACCGAAGCGATCTGGAAGGACTCCGCACCCCCTGAGTTCCAGAGGAGCCTCATTGTCATCTGAGCCTTCAGAAGAGCAGCTAAGGGAAGCTGAAGGCGGACACAGTTTCCTTGATGGTGGTCCCGGAGACTCCCGTAGCAGTTCGAGAAATTCAGCACCGACTCGAGGCCTCAGGAGAGGCGGGGCTGGGGTGCAGAGGGTCTGTGAACTGCATCAAAGGGATTTGGAAACGGGGTCTACAGTACCTCTCTACACCTCCCAAACACCTAGCAGCTCCTCAAACATCACGTCTGTTACACTTTTTTTTTTTAAAAAAAAAGGAGAGAAATCACTGTAGCAGTTGCACATGGTATAGTGAGTTGAAGTTATTTTGATTCTCTTATTCAACTGGGCTTGGGGCTCAGGTCAAGCTCAAGAGAAATCTAGCGGTCAGTACCAAACTTAACGAGGTGCCAGGGAAGGCAGGTTTCCAGAGGGTGTGGTCTGCGACAAGGCTTAGTTAGGGACCTTGGAAAAGAGGCCAGAACAGTAAAGAAACTGCGACCCCCAAGGTAACCACCCCCAAGGTAACCAGACACCGTCCCCAGGCAGACAGGGCCGCCCCTCAGAGCAGCCAAGGCTGCAATGCTGATACGCAGCCACCCCCACGGGGCAGTTTCCTAAAACCGAAAACAAGGTTCACCGGCGCGGAGGCACGAGAGAATGCATGTAACGGACAAGGTTTGCTTTTTTTAAATATATCTTTATTTCTCAAACTCAAAGCTTTAATTCATCAGGTTCTAACACATTTTGCATTGACAAGTGATTTTACCTGCAGAGGTAAGGTCAGCGACCCTCACACCGAAGAGGAAGTCTCACGCAGCCTCCGTAGCCCTAAGAAACTCATTTTTCAAAGGCTATGCAAATATCACCAAAAGGAAAAAAAAAAAAAGCTCCCAATTTCGTCTAGTGAGTATATTTACTTTTCAGCTAGATCAATTTGGAAATTAATGGATAAAAACTCTTAATCATCCTAGAGAAGCTATTTTTTTTTTTTACCCATTAAAAAGAAAAAAAAAAGCAAAAAACACAGATGGCTTGAATTTTCAAATGCCCAGAGATCCAGAGTGGTTAATGACTTCCTCTTCAGTGGATGATCTTCTCACCTTCCTACGTAAACACACGACAATTTGTACCAACTCTCAGAAACCCAGGCAACACTCCAAGCATTTTCTTTTGCTTACACTTGAACATTTTTTTTTTTTTGAAGTGATAAGTAAACAAGATTTAGAACTTGAACTCACAAAAACAGCATTTCCTTTTCTGATCCTCACCTTGGAAGGCTCCACAAATAATCCTGAAGGGTTGCCAGGTCTTGTTAAATACCCACCTACCTCCCTTGGGGTTCTGAATTTAACGGCCTGAATGGGAGGAGGTTCCAAAGTCAGCTGTGAACGTTCTGGTGGCTGCCAGATGAAGGACGGGTTTTGCACCTTGGCAACTGCCAAGTTCTCGCACCTCACAGAATCAGAATCCCCCGCCCCCAGGGTCTCCCAAGTTAGCACCTCAGCCGGGCAGCCTAAGGCAGGGCCCTGGGGAGCAAGGGGCTCCTCTCCCAGCTGCGGGAGCATCATTTATTCTCGGAAGAGGACACCTGAGCTCAGAAGGTAGCTGCACTCTGAAACAAGGCACCTGGAAGTGAGCTAGAAAGGCACCGTCTCTTCAGTCAGGGAGTTGTTTTGAGTTGTCACCAGTTTCCCAAGTGAACAAAGCAGTACTAGTGACTGCCCTCGCCGACCCAGCTAGGGGGGCTGCTGCGGGGAGAGTGGATTGAAGGCTTTAGCAGTTGACGACGAGTGCGTCACCGCCAAACACAGGCTTGCACACAGCTCTGTGTGACGCAAATCCCCAGGGGAAAAAAAAAAATCAAACTGGAGGGGGAAGAAAAAAAAAAAAACAACTTGAATGTCGAAGCACATCTGCACCCATATAGCATCTGTTACCACATGCCAGGAGCCCAGAATCTTCCCCACCTGACTTTTTTCCCTTTGCCAGGTCCTCGAAGCAGCCGGCAGGAACCTGGATTTGCGGGTGTTAGTGACAGAGCCCAGTTTCAGAGTTGAAGTTACTGAGTGAGGACTAGTGTCTCAGCGCCAAGGTAGGACTGCAGGGTGAGATTCAAGTTCAGAGCCAAGAATTCGGTGTGTACCACCTTTTTCCTACCACAGGGGTGGGGGAAAAAGGTTCTTTTTAAATCTCACTGCTGCTCAAACGAATCCCAAGAAGCAGACTGGGACGCCAAGCTCGCAGAGAGCATCAGAGGCTGGTGGGAATTCTGGAGCAAAGGAGTCCGTTCACTTTACATGAGAACTTGCCTTTGCGCTTTAGTGCCCAGGGCCGCTGCCAAGTTTCATGTTACTCAACACGCACGCAAGAGGAGCCACTGGACCCAGCACAAGTTCAGAGTGCCTGCTGCCGTGTGAGCAGCGTGAAAGGCAGGTTTCAGCTGGATTTTCCAGATACCTGAAATGCAAGGTTTACCTGGCCTATTCGGAGGCTGGGAGCCGGCTCGCAGAGCAGGTGCAGACGCTCCTGGGCCGGGGCTGGGTTCTCACAGTGCAGCGCTGGTCTGCTGCCGCTTTGACGGATGGTTCTAGAACCCAAGTCTACTCTCAGACTCCAAAACAGCTGGGCTAATAACGTCAGGGGAAAGAGCCCTGACCAAGACGGTGATCGTGCGTGGTGGTAAAGAACTGGCAGGGTGGGAACTTCTAGCAACTTCCGTGCCTCCCTTCATCCTCAAAGGAAGGCTAGTACCGGATAGGGAAAAGAAAAATGCCCACGCAGAGAGCACACCAAGGACAAACTGCGGATTTAATTGTTGATGAGATCCCGATCCTGTCGTCACCCGGAGCCTCATCGACCTGATCCCCACGCCTTCCGGGAGATGCAATACTGACTTCTGTTAGCAAGCGCTCAGGCTGGCGGCGGCGTCACATTCCAGAGCTTTGGTTAAACAGATCTGTCACTTTTGTGCAAACACGTCGCCATTTGACCACCACGGCAGTTTTTTTTTTTTAAGGTCATGGATCACCACACAGTTTTTAAAGTCGGGATTCACTCTCTTTATTGCCACCCTCTTAACACTAACGCATCCCGGGGCCCCTCAATGGAGAAATGTCCTTGACGTCAGAGTCAGTTAATTCAAATTACACCCACAGCTCACAGCGCAACGGGAGACGGCCGTCCTCGCCAGGGCCTCTCACTCACCTGACGCCGCGCAACGTGGGTACCAGCTCGGTTTTGGATTTCAGCTATGTCCCGGCTGCGTTTAAAAGCACAAAGACCTCACCTCGCATTGCAGAAAAAAATCTGGCTCTCTCTTTAGAAAAGGGTAACCCACTCCTGTGCCACCTGGATCTGCAACAAGGTAACTTCATTGCTAAAAGCAAGGGGATGGCAATCACTCGAGGCTGGGATTTTGATGGCCACAGGAGAAAGTAAAAACTCAGGACCTCGGTGCTGACAAAAATCACTGCAGAAACCAAGCCGGATGGCAAACCCGAGTTTCTTGGCCCTTGATGGCCGAGAGTGCCGCTTTCTGAAAGATTCTGGAAAACGTTTCAAACCCCCAAGCCCCTTATCTACATCTACTGGGAAGCCATCGGGAGCCTAGAGCTCTCCCACTTACTAAGCTCGCTGCAGACTAGAGATTAACACTGTTTTCCTTCTAAAGTGCAGAATATAAACAAGTAAGGTCAAACCTATCAAAATAAGGAAGATCATTCTTCAGTCACTCAAAAACACCAGAATTCATCATCGCAAAGTGCATGCCAGGCCCGCTGAAGGCCAGGCCCGACCCCAGCGCAGCGCGGGGCCGGCAGGTCCAATTCTAAAGCAGTTTTGAGCCAAAGAACTCTGCTCACGGGAGCGGACCCCCCCCCCCCCCTCCAGCGGGTCACCCAGTTCCACTGAAATCCCTGAATTCGTTTGCTGTCCAAAAAAACCCGGAGAAGGATACGTCGCTATTCTGGAAAACAAAAACACTCACAAAACAGAAACAAGCAAAACCAGCCAAAATACTCCAGAAAAACAGCTTGTTACACTCGGAATGTGATCAAAGTGGGTTTCCAGCGACAACACGGGAAGACCCCGATGCCAGTCACGACAGGTTCTAGACTCGGCACAATCCTTGGTCTCAGGAAAAGCAAAACGACCGCGATGAGCTAAGGAGGGGTGGAAAGTGTCATTCAGCAAGAATTCCTTCAAGAAAAATTGAACATTCATGCTTCCTATTTACAATCGCCCCCCCCACCACCACCACCACCAAAATTCTACTTTAATAGTATGTCCCACATTGTATTTTGTTTTCAAGTTACATTTCAAGAAAAGGTCAGGGTTTTTTTTTTTGTTTGTTTTGTTTTGTTTTGTTTGTTAGTTTTTCCCTCGGCCATCTTTCGCCATTCCTCCTGACAGCACAGCATCAAAACCACAAAACACTTCCAACCAGATCTCAGATCTCCAGCTACTGGCTTTGGTTTATTGATGAAGAAAGTCTCAGCTCTGCTGATGGGGAATCAACATAAGCAATTCAGTCTCTTGAACAAAAAAAAAACAAAGTCACAAGCACACCCTCCTATTTGCCATTTTCTGCCTAAAATTGATACAAGAAAATAGACTGTCGGCACAACTTCCATGAAATTGCTGAGAACCCAGGGAAGGGCCAGCACCGCTGACTCCACAGGTGGCACAGCCTTCTCCAATGCCCCCGGCATCAACCCCGTCTCAACGCCCGCACAGAGCTCAACCCCCCTGTGCTGAGGCCTGGGACGTGACATGTTGGTGTCTATCTTGGAAAGATGTGGACGGGGGACACTTCCTCTAGCATTTTCCAAAGTGGCACTGAGTAACGGGTCCCTTTAGGGTTGGCTCATGAGCTACTGTAGACCCATTCCAATGGGCACACAAAGAAAAGCAAAGCAGAATCAGAGCTGAGTTCCCCTTTAAAAGCCAAACACCTACATCTAGAAGGAGGCTCCCCTACCTGAGAGCGCTTGCCCTAGCGGGGTGCCCACTGTGGGACCCCTCGGGTCTTAAGGTTAGTTGCAGGGCAGCCAGGTGGGGTAGGGCTGGCTGTAGGTCACGGGAGGGTGGGCCACGTAGTAGTTGCTGAAGTTGCCGTCGCTGATGTAAGGCGCCGGCTGGTAGTAGCAGGTGACGTTGGTGGCGTTGGGGATGGCGTTCTGCTCCGCCAGCACGCGCAGGGCCAGCAGGGAGATGAGGTTCAGGGTCTGCCTGCGCTCGTGGCCCATGAGGCACACGGTGCTCTCGTTCACGACCCTGCGCAGGATCATGAGGTAGTCATACTTGCTCTTCTCTCCCTCGGCAAAGTGGTTCTGCAGGTAGGTCTCCAGCTTCCGCTGCTGCTCGAAAATGTCCGGGAAGTCGATGAAGAACCGGGAGCACATGTACCGCTCCAGCGTCTTGATCTCCTCCTGGTCGGTGGGCCGGAAGTCCCGCGCCAGGAGGTTGCTGTACTTGAGCAGCCCCCCGCCCCGGATCTCCTCCGGGTGCTTGGTGGCGATCAGTCTGTTCTGCAGGTGGCCGAGGGCCTCCTCGAAGTCCCCGTACACGCTCTCCCCGATCACCGCGGGGTGCTGGTGCTCAGAGACGGGGCTGCCGGAGCAGTCGTAGAAGACGAGCAAGGAATCCAGGATGATCTGGAAGGAGTCCACGCTAAACTCGAACTGACGCCGGATGGAGTCGACGAACTTGAGCTCCACGTTCCTCCCGTTCTTGTTGGAGAGCGAGATGAGGCTCCAGCGGTCGGTGTCCGTGCAGACCTTGACCAGCTTCTGGACGTAAGCCTCCTTCAGGGTGACCGGGCTGATCTTGAGCTTGCTCACGCCCTCCGGCAGGAAGTTCAAGAGGGAACACAGAACCACATCTCTGACCAGCTGGAACTCCACCTCGGTGGGAAGAGCCACGTGGAAGATCAGGTCCAGGTCTTTGCAGCCCAGGCCGTTGTCTTTGACCAGGACGTGGCCCGCCGCCGAGCCGTTGAGCCGCACGTCCTGCACCCGGATGCCCGCCTCCTCCAGCTGGCTGCGGACCGTCTGCACGATGTCCTTCAGGGTGAGCTCCAGGGTCGGGAAGTTGCCGCGGCCGTGAATGGGGACGACTTCGGTCAGGACCTCGTGCAGCCGGCTCACCTGGTCCCAGCCGAGCACCCTGCGGGACACGCAGTCCCTGGCACCGCCGTTCTCCTCTGCCATCTTGGGGGTGTTCTTCCAGGGAAGCTGAAAGGCATGGGGTGGGAAACACAGTTAGGATTCACTCGGACACAGCAGAAGAGCTCGGGGGACTCAGAGAAGGTGCGCATTCGCCTCTGAACCTCCTCCTGGCTGTCAAATGGCAGTCAGTGGCACCTCCGGCTGGGGGCCGCTCTGAGGACTAAATGGGCCGGAGGGTAAGACAGTGTCTGCGCAGAGTGAGGGTGAAATACAGTCGACGGCTTCTTCACCAGATCCGATAATTTCATAATTCCCTTTTATGTGGCTTTTGCTTGGTTGGTGGTTTTCTGATTTTGTGTTTGTCTGCGTGAGGTGGGGTGGAGGGTGCTGGCGAGAAGGGAAGTGGACAAACTTCTTAAAAGAAGCAACCTTCGCGCATGTAAAGGGCCTAAATGTTTTGCTAATTTTCCTCCCTGCAGAACTCGCCTCCACCGCTTTGGGCTCCGACTAGATCTTAAAAGGAGGGATGCTGCCGCCCACAGACTGCCTTCCCGCCATCAGCAGATGGACCCCAGCTCTGGGCTACCACCACACCGACACAAGGGAGGGACCTCCGGCCAGGAGCAAGGACACTGGCTGTCCAAGAGCGAGAGCCGTGTGTCCGCTGCACCTAAGGGAGCAGCCCGCCCCATGGCCTACTCCCGTTGTCCAGAGGGAGACAGGGCATGCGCTGAAGGAAAACATACCCGGGTGAAAGGGTCAGGCCAGCCACATAGTGGCAGTGGAGCCGCCCTGCCCACCCAGGCGCCCCGGGGCAGCGAGCTCTTTCAGCTGTCCTCTGCAAAACAGATGCCTTGAAGTCACCAGAGGAGAATCAAGATAGCGCTGAGTACCAGGAGAAAAAGGTCACGTCCACATTCCACCTGCCTGAATCGCAGAGTGACCGGAGCAAAGGTATACTTTCCAGAACATGAAACGCAACAGATCGCTGGAAAACCTAATAGTATAAAAGCAAATGCTGACCTGTTCCAAAGCCAAGATGCCTGTGGATCCAGCAGGTCAAATATTAGCTAGATGAATGCAAACGCTGAGACAAAAGGCCAGGGTGCTAGCCTCAGGCCTCGCCCAGAGCAGACAGCTCCCCCACCCCGCTTCAGCACTCTGACTTGCCAGACATGAACAAAATCTACCCCCAACAGCTTCTGAGTTTCACTCTTTCACATCCAGCATGTGTGCTCCTGGGTGAAGTCCAAGCCCAGCTGCTGGTCTCACGCTCTGGCAGGAATCCCTGGTTTTACCTACACGGGATGGCTGATCCTTAGTGCAAGGGCACCACTGGATGCACCGCGACAAGCTTTCCTGCAGCTGGTGGTTACAGAGGTGGATCAGAACACGACCTGGCCAGGCAAGGTCATGTGTGGTAGAAAGCAGGCAGGCAAGGGGAGCTCCCTTGACTGGGTGGCCGGGAAAGCCACAGAAGCATCCACTCACGCAGAAGGGACTCCAGCCAGGAAGCCGACACCAGGAGCTCTCCCACAGCCCAGCGGAGAAAGCAGCGCGCACCGCATCTGAGGCCAGATCACAAGGTCCCTTTGAGGTCTACGTTAAGGGGCTGGATTTGCTTGGCTGCAGTGGGAAGGCAGATCACGTGGTCAAGAGGCTCTAGAGGGCCAGTCTGGGGATGATCCTCCCCTGATTGCTACAGAAGAATACTTGTCAAGGGGAAGATAAAAAAAAAATTTCCCTCGGACCTGTTTGGGCAACATTGAAAAGCCCCAGGTTACCTTGATGACACTATCAAAGTACTCCAAGGTCAGGGATGGCAAGCAGGATCTGATGAAATTCGTAACGCTCACGGTGGTTGGCATTTGGCTTCCAGTCAGACTTGGGACAGTGCAGGTCCCTATTTGCTGAGCTCCACATACACTCAGTTCTCTGGGGCCCCTTCATAACTCACATGCAGCCCACTTGTGCCTGTCACGTAGGGCACCACACACGGGAGTCCAAACGGTCACAGAAGCGATGGGTCTAAGAGCTCTGAGCGACTGCCGGCCTACCTGGGGCCTGCAACACAGGCGTCTGCCAGGTGTGTGGCTCTACCTAGGGAGATACAACTTGCTTTCCTCCATGTCTCACCTGTAATTGTGCCTACAAGGTTCATTTTTGTGCGATAGGCAGAAGTCACAGTGATTCAATCAGTATTGAGAGGGAGGGAGGGAACAAGATTTTTGATTCATTTCCAGAAGAACGTCAATCATGCAAGAGGTCTGGAGTAGGCATGACCTTTGATTCATGTGTCTGCATTGTTTTAAGGAGTTGTTTACAAAGAAGACCTCCAAGGTGATGTCAGGAATACTCCCACCTCGAGACTAGCGGCTCCGAGCATTAGTGGAGGAACCCGTGAGGCTGGCGAGCCTCTGCTGAGCGCGATCATCCCGTCCTCTGGGGGAGGGGAAGTCACATATGCCGGGAATGTTCCTATTTTTTTTTTTTTTTTTGAAGTCTGTAAACTTGTACTAGGCTTCAAAGTGAGTCTGTTTTAGCTGAGAGTTTGTAAGGTTTGTATGGGAGGAAGAACAGGAATAGTAAGAAAAGTTATGGAAAAAAGGAGAGATGTATGCTACCCCCACAGGAGGTATCAGAAGCCACAGTAATTGAAACATGGCGACGACAAAAAAAAAAGACAAATTGACAGAACAGAAATTTTAAGTCTTGAAATAAATCAAATACATAATGAGATTTAGTATATAAATGAGATTTAGATTTAGATTTAGTATCTATAAATACATAATGAGAAAAAACACTGAAACATCTAGATATCTAGATTTTTTAAAATAAAGGTGGTTCCTTGTTCCAAAGTAAGAGTTGGGTGGGTAAAGGACTTGAAAGAAGAACGTCCCCAGAGTATTAGGGGGAAAAATGGAATAATATGCAGTTACTTATAGAGAATAGGTAGCCCTTTCTGTATTACATAACACCTAAAAGTCAAATAATGGTATATGTTCCTATATGACAACAAGTTTCTACAGTGTAAAAACACCATAAAGAAGTCAAAAGGCAAAAACTAGGAAAATATTTGTAACATAGGGCAAATTACTCATCTCCTTAATGAAAAAGAAGCTGCTACAAATCAGAAATATTAGCCCTCCAACAGAGGGGACACAGGACTTGCGTAGACACTCAGATGCATAGCATGGTCAAGTGAAAACTTCAATGTGTCATTTCTACCTATCCCTGATAGGCGTCAGAGATACCGATGCTGATAAGCACCAAGAAGCCTGGCATGTCGGGCAACAGATGCCATCAGTAACCAACCACTCAGGTTCTGTCTACAGGACAGCGTGGGACTCTAATTTTAAGTGGATGCAACCTTCGACAATGCAATTCTAATTCCAGGATGTCTCCCCTGGACCCTGTCCTAGGCGCATGCTTGCAGACTATGCAGAGATGCTCGCTGAAATATTGTTTACAAAGCTACACGTATTCATCAGCGGGAGATGGTTAAACGACTCAGTTCACATATTCAACGCCATACACGCTGTTGTCCAGAAGAACAGCATCATCTCGGTATGTACGAACATGACGTGCTCATCAGGATTTATTCTTAGAAAAGCAAAGCAAGCGCAAAACTGCTTACACGATCACAAATTCGCGTAAAGATTCACAAGTAGGCTGCACCAAACGCTACCTCTGGGGGCATGAGAAAACTTCTTTCTTATTTCCGGCCTATTCAATTTGGAAACTACACATCTATTAGCTGAAAAAAATTAAGATCTTACGAGTCATATCTAGAAATCTTTACCCTAGGACTGTTCTCATCTGCCGCCTCGTTTAATTCCGTAATTTAGTTACAAGAGCTCCAAAACTTTTAAATAATGGATAAGCCATCTCGTCCCATCCTAAATTTGTTACCCAAAAATGCTTTTTTTGTGGCTTTAAGGAATTGGTATTTCTCATCTCCAACACATTATAGGTACCTCATAATACTGTCAGGTTAATTGTTCACTACAGCTGCAAGCACTCAATAAATGCAATAAACACTTTTTTAAAAGGACCCAAGATGCCTGTGGTTGTCATCTTCCAGGGCAACTTTTTCAGGCACACAGGAATAACTGACTGAGGGAGGTCTACAGAAAGGCAGTAGAGGAAATGGCAAATACAGAGACTGTGGTGTTTTTTTTTTTTTTTTTTTAATTCTCCCAATGCACCCTCATTAGAGGAGCTTCAGTTATTGAAGGCTGAAATTCAGGGCTGAGCTCACAAGGAGAGTCCAAATTAAGTTATTGGTGCCTATTAGAAAGAAATTCTTTGTTTCCCCTCACCCAGCCAAACAATTGAAATACCAGAACTACCTTTTTGAGCTACTTAGACAAACAACAGTATCGCTAGAATAAATCCAAGTCACAGGCCCCCTAGAGCTTAGTAACACACCAGAACTTAGTGTAACAGTTTCAGTTTTAATTAACCACTTGAATCCACACTGATATTACCCCCATGTGAAAGAATCACATGAAATGCACATTCCCAAGTCGAGAACGGCCCTGGTTAAGGGCAGATCCCCATTAGCAGAATTAGCAGCATTAACAAAATAGAGACTAGAAAATAATTAACTTGAGACCTGGTGAATTCAAACTAAAATACCTGGTTTTCCTTTTACTGTCTGAGGAGCAGAGTCGTTGTCTTTTGCACAGTGGAAACTGGGGAAGGTGGGAACCACAATTTTCTCACTGGCTTGAAAATTCACGCCTCTTTTGAAGAAGACCAATTAATCCCTGCCCAGGTCAAGCAACTTAACCTTCCAAAAAGTTTGACTCATGATTAGCCATTATCTCAGTTACCAGGTCCCTTTCTTCTGTCATCTGGCTGCAGCCGTGGTTCGAATACACACATTAAAAGAGAGCAGGTTTGGACACAGAGCCGCAGAGGGGGACAGGAAAAGACAAACAGGCTGGGTGAGCAGACCACGCTCCAGGAGACACGCCGACAGGCAGCCCGTCTCCGCGTGCCGCGGCCGGGACAGAGGCACTCAAGGCGGCTCGGTCTGAAAAACCTAGCTGAAGTAGGGA